GACCTGCAGGGTCAGCCGGGAACAGACGTTACAGCTTGGTGGAAACCCATCGTTCCTGCAGCAACCAGAAAATCATGGAGGAGCCTGGCTAGCAGCAGCAGCAGCAGCCTCCACCTGCAGCTCCTCTGCGTCCTGGGCTAGTTCCAACGGCGCTGCCAGGCAGGCCGCCATGGGGCCCCCAGCTTCTGCTGTGGCCCCCACAGGCCTGCAGACGAGGTCCCAGGTGGGCAGGTACCCAGGCATCCCCTTGTAGTTACCTGTGGGAAGAAGCTTCCAGAAAAACACACAGGCTGGTCCTCAGGGCCTCCAGGCCCAGTCTTCTAGGGCAGAACACACAGACACCTCTCTGGGGACAGTCCCCTAATCTCCTCCTCCACTGGCTTCTTTCCCCAGTGTGGGCCCTGCCCATCCAGCTATAGGGTCCAGCCCTGCAGGGTTCTGTGAGCCTTTCCCAGCTGGTGCAGAGATGAAAAATTATAGAAATAAAAGACACAAGACACAGAGATAGAGAAAAGAGAGCTGGGCCCAGGGGTCCACTGCAACCCAGATCGCCAGGACGCTCTCACTTCTATTGAATTGCAAATCTGGGGGCAGGGTAGATAGCGCATGGCAGTGACAGGGTCAAGTACATCACGTGTCATTCAGGTGGGGGCTCAGGAATTTCTGGCACCCGAAGTGAGGTAAGGAGCATGATGCATCAGCACTTTTCCATACTTATCAAGAAAGAACTAAAACATTCAGATTTATATTACTATGACTAATAATCTTTTCTAAGACAAAAGGAACCAGGTGCAGATGCAGAACCTGAGAGTGGACGTGGAACGTGACCGGTGAAGCACAGCCTCACACAGAGATAGTTCAGCCCCAGGTGTCTGCTGGCCTCCCTGACAGCCATCAGGCCTACCACAACAGCTTGGAGGAGCAGAGTTTTCTCCTAAATCCTCAGGGAAGGAGACGTTTCAGCTATTTTGGACATCTCCTTCCCTAGCTGGCTAAACAGCGGGCGCTTTCCGAGCACGGGCGCTTTCCGAGCACTGGCACTGCCGCACAGCCGAGGCACCCTCCAGCAGCCCTTACGCGGGCATGACAAAGGGCTTACAGCATCTTGCCTTAGTGTCATTCATTTCACAATGTCACCCCAGGCTCACGCTTCCAACCCGAGAGGCATTAGTAAAGGAATTAGGATCACCTGTGAATAACTAAGAGCACATATAAATAACTAATAACTACTACGGTTATATTTTTAGTTACTTTCGTCTTCATTATTTCTATGGAAATAGGCTGAGACCTTTTGCTCCTGCCTCTGCGCTTATGGGATCTCCCCACAGCCTCCGCTGGGCTCCTCTTGGGGCAGGCTGCTGCCCTCACGCATCACAGGCCAGTGCCCACCTGGGTCTCTCAAGACAGCCAGCGCCTGCCACGTACCCCCTCAGCATGCAGCCGGGTGCTCTGCCCCGCCTACTACCCTCGGAGCCCGATGCCTGCCCCAGCCCCGTTGCCCCTCCTTCCCCTCCCACCCTGCTGTCGGGCCAGCCTGCTGCATCCCCAGCCCCTCCTGGCCCCATTGCCCAAGTGCTCGCCTCTGGCCAACTGCTCACCCGCCTTCTGCAGCCGCCCAGCAGGCCCCCTGCCCCTACCTCCCACTGGGAATGGCTGGGTGCCAGCTGTGTCTAGCGATGGGGCCAGTGTGAGGCACCACACATTTCACTGGGTTTTTGTTTTCCACAAGCTCTTGTTGCCTTTGCCTTTTAAAAGATTTCATCTTTTTTTTTTTTGAGACAGTTTCGCTGTTGTTACCCAGGCTGGAGTGCAATGGCACGATCTTGGCTCACCGCAACCTCCGCCTCCTGGGTTCAAGCAATTCTTCTGCCTCAGCCTCCCAAATAGCTGGGACTGCAGGCGCGCACCACCATGCCCAGCTAATTTTTGTATTTTTAGTAGAGACAGGGTTTCGCCTTGTTGACCAGGATGGTCTCGATCTCTTGACCTCGTGATCCACCCGCCTCGGCCTCCCAAAGTGCTGGGATTACAGGCTTGAGCCACCGCAGATTTTAATTACATCTTAAATTCCTGACTTCAAACTAGACTTGGTGCCCCTACAAACACATCCCTTTTCACTTTCAGTACAGTACTCGACAAATTCCATAATTCGTTAGAAAATATGGGGGCTCACGCCTGCACTCCCAATGGGAGGCCAAGGTGGGCGGATTATTTGAGGTCAGCAGTTCGAGAATAGCTTGGCCAACATGGTGAAACCCTGTCTCTGCTAAAAATACAAAAATTAGTGGGGCTTGGTGGCAAGTGCCCGTGATCCCGGCTACTTGGGAGGCTGAGGAGGTGGAGTTTGCAGTGAGCCGAGATCAAGCCACTGCACTCCAGCCTGGGCAACAGTGAGACTCCATCTCAAAAAGAAAAAACAAGATAGGCTTTGTGTGAGAGGACTGCCCAGCTGCAGCGAACGTACATGCTTTCAGCGCATCGAGTTTGTTTGGGCTGAGCTGTGATATCGGTAGGTAAATGTATTAAGTTCACTTGCAACTCTCTATTTTCTACTCAGGATGGTTTTATCAGACCTGACCCTGGCTGGGTGTGGTGGTCACGCCTGTAACACCAGCACTTTGAGAGGCAGGTGCATCACTTGAGATCAGGAGTTCAAGACCAGCCTGGCGAGCATGGTGAAACCCCATCTCTACCAAAAATACAAAAATTAGCCGAGTGTGTTGAGAGGCTCCTGTAATCCCAGCTACTCAGGAAGCTAAGGCAGGAGAATCACTAGAACTCAGGAGGCAGAGGTTGCAGTGAGCCAAGATTGCGCCATTGCACTCCAGCCTGGGTGACAGAGCAAGACTTTATCTCAAAAAAAAAAAAGACCTGGCCAGTCTTGGTGGCTCACACCTGTAATCCCATCACTTTGGGAGGCCGAGGCAGGCAGATCACCTGAGGTCTGGAGTTCGAGACCAACATGGAGAAACCACGTTTCTACTAAACATACAAAAAATTTATTAGCTGGGCATGGTGGTGCATGCCTGTAATCCTCTAATTGGGAGGCTGAGCCAGGAGAATTGCTTGAAACCTGGAGGCAGAGGTTGTGGTGAGCTGAGATTGCACCATTGCACTCCAGCCTGGGCGACAAGCAAAACTCTGTCTCAAAGAAAAAGAAAAATACCTGACTCCGTCATCATTGGAGCGTCTGTTAAAAAAAAAAATGACAGCTTCAGTGTTGGTGTCAGGGTGACAACCTTGATACTAGCCAGGACTGCACTGGCTGTGTGACCTGGGCAAGTGCCAGGTCTCTCTGTGCCACTTGCCAAGTGGGCGTGGTTGTCACTGCTCCCACTGTGAGCCACTGAGTCTTGGTGAGGTGGTGGCTGTGGCGCCCTCGCTGGCACTAGCAGCACCCAGCATGGGACTGTAGCTGTGGCCAACCTAGCTCCTTGGCATAAACACTGGCTCTCAGTGGGAGGTTCCTAGTGAGGGCATGGTGTGGGGACCTGGACTGCAGGCCAGTTCCATGCACCAGACCTCAGGTGAAGCCGGGGCCCTGCTGGGGGAAGGCCCGTGGGACCCTGAGGACAGCGCTGGCCTGGCGCCTGGAGGGTTCCCAGGAATGACCCCCAACAGTACACTTGCCCTCGCCCAGGAGTCCAGATTGGCTCACGCATAATAAGGCTACTGTTGACATGCTGAGAGCACTCCACACCAGGCCCGGGGGCCAAGTTGCTCCATTTAATAAACCACACAGCACCCCACGGAGGGTCTCGCCACCAACGTCACCACCTCCACCACCAACCGCCCCACTCTGGGAACCAGCATCCCTGCAGGGCAGGCTCCTGAGACACGTCACATCACCCATCACATTGCAATCCAGTGCTGCGCGTTGCATAAACTGGCATTGGACCTGATCTCATAAGCTGCGTTTGGGGGATGCCTTGAGTACCCAGGCACACACATCACAGCTCCTAGTGTAAGGGAGAGAGTAAAGCTTTGGAGTCCCCGAAAGACTTGGTTCGAGGGCCAGCTCTGCGCTCAGAGTCTCGTGGCCCCGAGAGTTACTGAACCATGTTGTGGCTCCGCGTCAGGATGGCCTTGCTTTGTCCCAGGCATCTGAGGAGCAGTGGGCATTGTGCCCTGTGGGGCTCTTCAGGGAAGTGTGTTGTGCATTCCTTCTGCCGACAGATATGTGCCCACAAGTTGGCTCACAGAAAGTGCCTGGGAGACCCCGCGGTCCAGGCAGACAGTGAGCAGTGTCAGACCTGCCCCGCCCGTGGGTGGGGCTGGCGCTCTGGAGAGGGAGGCAGACATCAAGTGGGTGGCGAGGCAAGGACGCCTCCTTCCCATGGTGACCAGTGGTTAGCAGGTAACGGTCACAGGATAGCGGGGTCCAGGAAGCCTCCCCTGGGGCCATGTATGAGCTGAAAAGTCCAGAAAGAGGTGGCCACCAGAAGAACAGGAACAGAATATTCCAGACTGAGGAACAGCCCCTGTGACAGCGCTGGGGTGGGAGGGTGTGGCTGGTGCAGGGAGCTGCAGTCCACGGAAGGTGGCCTGAGAGCAAGGGCTGCCTGGTGCCCACCCCACCTCCCACCCCTTGGTGCCCCGATGCCGAGCTGTGCTTCAGGGTGGGGTGGGCAGCACCAGCCTCAGGCAGCACTAGGTGGGATGGGCCTGTCAGAGCTGGCAGTGCCCCCACAGGGTGTTGCTCGGTGGGCAGGGAAGGTTGGTGTCCTGTGCTGTGCCATGCCATGCCTGAGAAGCCTGTCCCCAAGGGCTGCTGGTCCCCAGAGAGGAGCTCAGTGCCTCCGAAACAGGACCCTCTCAAGGTGCCCCTCCTCCCTGCCTTGGTCTGCACGGGCTGCGGAAGCCTTCGGCCTGTGGGTGTGCAGCTGGACTGGAGAGCAGCCCTTCCCTGTGCAGCAGGCGGCACTCGGTTTCTGGCCACAAAGGTGGTGCCTGGGCTGGTGGCCCCATGCCTGTTCTGAGGCCCCAGTGTCATCTTGCAGGAGGCGAGTCACGTCCCAGCGCTGCTCCCTGGAGTTTCTGGAAGATGCCGTGGGATGTGCTCCAGCACAGAGGTACGAGCCCCCACCCACCCCAAGCTCCACGACTGCCTGGGCTGCCCCAACCCTGCGGGGCCAGAGGGGCGTGGGAAGAAAAGAACGACCTGTGTCTTTGCCTGGCAGAACCAAGCACACATCTGGGTCACCAAGACACAAAGGCCTGAAGAAGACGCACTTCATCAAGAACATGAGGCAGTACGACACCAGGAACAGCAGGTGTGTGGCCAGCCAGGAGCTGGGAGCCGGCTGTGGTCCCCGGGGCTCCTGCCTGTGCCAGCCAAGCAATCCTCCTTCCACTGCCAAGGCTCCCGCCTGCCCCACATCCCACACCCCTAGAGGGGGACCCTCCTCCCCACCACACTCTGCGCTCCACATCAGCCAAGCACCCGCAGGTCCCTGGTATCACCACGGCGAGGCTACCTCTCTGGGCTCCCAGGTGAAGGGCCAGGTGTAGACGCCAGCCTCCAGCCACAATGCTGACGTGAAGGAAAACGGGAGACACAGAAACACTCGTGGCTGTGAGATGCCTGGGGAGGAGCTGGGTTTTGTTGGGAGCACAGAGGAGAGGCTGAATAAAACGAACCCCTGGCTGCCCAAAGCTGGGTGGAGGGCCCAGGGGTGTTCCTGTGGCCCTGTGCTCCCCACACTGCAGGTTCTGAGGGGTCCTGAGGTCCAGAGTGCTCCCTTCCTTCTGGAGCTCCCCTGCTGGGCACCCTCCCTATGGTGACCTCGGGTCTGACCGGACCCTCCCTCCCCGTCAGTCCTACACAGCTCCCAGCAAATGTGAGTGCCAGCCCTGCCTCTTATCATCCAAGCCAGAGAGGGGGAGAGGTTCTCCCACTGTTGTGCCCTTGGTGAGCCCCTGGGCAGGGCTGAACCAGCGTAGGGAGGAGCAGCAGTGGCTTCTGCCTGTGCTCCCCGGACCCAGGGCCTGGCTGCTCAAGTACCTTGGGAGGGAGCCACCAGGCCAGCCTCTCTGGACCTGGAGCAGGCCTCTTCTGGTAGCATGCAGCCCTGCTCCACCCAGGACCTCTGAGGGCTGGCTTGAGGCAGCCCTTGGCCTCGCCATGCCGTCCCCTCTGACTGCCTCTCATCTCTGAATGAGCTGAGATCCCAACATGAGGCCTCCAGCCCGACTGTGCTAGGTCAGGGAGGAGCCTTCGGGATGTCACTGCCATGCCTGCCCGTGTGCAGCCGCGTCCCAGGGAGGGCACCCCGGGAGCTCCTCGGATCCATGCTGAGAGTTTGGGGGGTCCAGACTTAGTGATGCTGGCCACTGGCCTCGTGGGCCTCAGTCCCCTTGGGCAGTGTGGGCAATCTCCCAGCACCTGAATTTAGGCAGAAGGAATTTTCCATAAAAATGTCTGCAGCTCTGGAAGCAGCAGCACCCTGACCTCTGCCCTCCTGACCCCGTCTCCTGCAGGATCGTGCTCATCTGTGCCAAGCGGTCCCTGTGTGCGGCCTTCTCAGTCCTGCCCTATGGCGAAGGCCTGCGGATCAGGTGAGTGCTCAGCCCCCGCCTCACAGCCCCTGGTGCACATCTGGGCAGAAGGCAAGGCTTGATCCCCAACCAGGCCCAGGAAGCATCGGGGAGCATAGTACCCCCAGGTGAGGCTGTGTCCCCATGAGGCTGCCCCCCAGGCTCACGCCAGGGGCAGCGCGTCAACCTCCACCAGTGCTACTGAGGAACCTGGGGCAGTTTTGCATCCTGGTTCTCAAGGGGTTGGGGGGCATGGGTTTCTGTTGACGCCGTTGATATACTGGCCTGCTGTCCTACCTCCTTGGACAGACCTGTAGGGCCCCATGGCCATCCGTCCAGTCCGTGTGTCATTCAGAGGAGAAAGAAACAGCTGTGGGGTGGGGATTATGGGTGGCCCTGGCTTAAAAATAGTGGTGGAAAAAGCTGACCAGTGTGGGCACGGGCACCTGGTGGGCTCCTGAAGGTGGCGCCACACGGGAGCTCTACCAGCTGCTATCTGTACCGGGAATTGGGGTCAAAGTGCTTCCGTGAAAGCACTCCTCATGTGTGCGTTCCTGCTCACCCAGTGCTGCCTGTCTCCCCAAGCGGCTATGTAGACACCATTCCTGAGGGCGCCCTAGGCAGCAGACAGGTGGGCTGGGCAGCCAGAGCCCACTTTGAGCACAGGCCGCAGCCCTCACCTCTCCCATGCATTGCAGTGACCTGAGGGTGGACAGCCAAAAGCAGAGGCACCCTTCCGGCGGCGTCTCTGTATCTTCCGAGATGGTCTTTGAGCTGGAAGGCGTGGAGCTGGGAGCAGATGGAAAGGTAAGAGCCTCTTTGCTGGCAGACACCCAGCACCATCAGGGCCAGGCAGGCGGGTGGGAGCAGTCCCACTGCAGTGCTCACAAGGCAGACACGGAGCCACGCTTCACTCGCCATAAAGCGCCAGGGTGGAGTGGGTATGGCCCATGCAGCCCTAAGAACACAGCCCAGAGCCCACCGGACCCCCACCCCCATCCCGGAAGCCTGGCCACGCCTGAAGTCTGTGCTGTGGCATCACAGCCACGGCTCCTGGACGCCTCCCCGTGTAGCCTGGGGCTCACCCACCATCCGGCCTCTGTGTTGGTGGTCAGCCATCTTCAGAGGCAGGGAGATTGTTATAGGCTACAGAACCCAGAAAAAGCGGGGAAACGGTGATGTTCGGGAATGTTCTAGCTATGTGAAGAGCAGCCTCGACGTCTTGATCTGTTTTCCCTTCATTTTCCACACAGGGCACCCAGCATGTGTATCTGGGTTTCCTGCAGTGTAAGCAGATGGAGCTTACTTTGCCCTCTGGTCCCAGGGAGCAGAGCTGAGCCCAGATGCGTTTGCTTTTCCAGGTTGTGTCTTACGCGAAGTTCCTGTACCCCACCAACGCCCTGGTCACACACAAGAGTGACAGCCATGGTGTGCTGCCCACACCTCGGCCCAGCATCCCCCGGCCTCTGCCAGGATCAAAACACAAACCTGCCTCCACCAAGTCAGCACCAGCCAGCACAGAACTAGGTAGCCCACATGCCTTCACCACGGCCCCGGACAGGGAGGCCACGTGCCTTCACCACAATCCCGGACAGGGTGGCCACGTGCCTTTACCACGGCCCTGGACAGGGTGGCCACATGCCTTCACCATGTCCCAGGGACGGCAGCAGCACCAGCAAGCCCCTTTCAGGCTGTAGCCCCCAGTGCAGATGGAGCCTGGGAGCAGGGTCAGGTGGCGGCTGCTCAGGAAGAAACAGCTCCACACTGCATCGCTGACCGGGCTTGGCCTGAGCCAGGCAGTGGAGAGGAGCTTCGTCCACAGATGACTCCAGGGAGGGCCCTTCCTCCCAGGACATCCCTTTCTTGCCCTAAGCCCTGGGCCCTTCAGAAGAGAGAGAACCATGGCCTGGAGCCCCTCCTGCTCCGCCTTGTCCCACCATGGTGCCGGCCTGCCAGACCTCGGGGCTAGACAGGTTCTGCTCAAGACTCCTGGTGGGTCAGGGGCTGCCTCTCTTACAGGGAGTGACATGGGGGACACCCTGGAGTACAACCCCAACCTCCTGGATGACCCGCAATGGCCCTGTGGCAAGCACAAGCGTGTCCTCATCTTCGCGTCGTACATGGTGAGCGCCCTCTCCAGGGCCTGGGCGCAGCAGCCGCGCAGCTGACCTGGCCAGGGTGTGTGGGACAGGCTGTGGGCAAGCCACCCCAGGGCCGTGACATGCCCCCATCCCGATCATAGCACCACAGACGATGGCAACATGCAGAGCGGGCCGGGAGCAGTGCTGGCCCCTCCGGCTGGGTTGGCCCTTGTCCTTCAGCCCGCAGCACCTGGCAGCCTGGCTCCCCCCACACCGAGTACCCATGTGCTCTGGGGCCCTCTCCCTGGAGCCATTTTGTTCCCACAAAGATTTGGGGCCTCCCAAGCTGCGCCGTGTGCATGTTTGCAAACCCAGGACGGCGACCGTCCTCATGGCACCCAGCAGGTGGGCCCCAGGGACTGTTCGAGGGGCTGGCCCAACCCTGCCCACTGTCTGTTGCAGACCACAGTGATAGAATATGTGAAGCCCTCGGATCTCAAGAAGGACATGAACGAGACCTTCAGGGAGAAGTTCCCACATGTCAAACTGACGCTGAGCAAAATCAGGAGGTGAGGACATCCCCTTAGGCCATCTCATCATCCTGGGAGGTGCCAGCCTCTCCTCCAGTTTCCTGTAGATTCTCCAGCTTGACAAGTCCAGCCACTGCCCAGCCCCAGCCCCCTCCGACCGTCTGACCAGGCCCCCAGCAGCAGCTCCCCTACCCCCACCACTGGCCCAGCCAGGCCTCCTGCAGCCCTGGCACACGACATCCCCCACACGCCACGACCCTCACCACAGCCCAGGATCTTCTTAAAACGTGAGCAGGGCCAGGCGTGCTGGCTCACGCCCGTAATCCTAGCACTCTGGAAGGCCGAGGCAGGCGGATCATAAGGTCAGGAGTTCAAGACCAGCCTGACCAATAGGGTGAAACCCCTTCTCTACTAAAAATATTGGGCATGATGGCACGTGCCTATAATCCCAGCTACTCAGGAGGCTAAGGCAGGAGAATCGCTTGAACCTCGGAGGAGTAGGTTTCAGTGAGCTGAGATCACGCCACTGCACTCCTGCCAGGACGACACCAAAACTGTCTCAAAAAAAAAAAAAAAAAAAAAAAAAAAACACTTGAGTGGGACGAGGCCTCTTGTGCCTGGCCCCTCCCAGTGTGTGCCATTTTGCTGAGTAGATTCCGTGGCCCTTCCCCTGGCCCACAAAGCACCCCTATCCAGGCACCCTGTGTGCTCACCAAGGCTATCCAGGCGTGCCTCTGCTCTCACGTGGTGCCACGCCGAGGACCTGTGACCAGGGGAAACCAAGCCAAAGGCGGCAGAGCTGCTGGGCTCACGTTGGGCTCCTGGCCACCGTCCTATACTGGGGGCCTGCCCCACCCAGCCTCTGCCCCAGTGTTCCAGAGGGCAGCTCACCCTACATCCCAGCACCTCCCTTCAAGGCTCTTCCTAAAACTGCCCCTCATAAGAAGCCACTGCCCCCCCGCCACCGAAAGCAGGGCCTGTTCTCCATGGCTCCACCCACCAGGCAGAGGTGGAAGCTGCCGTGGGTGCCCAACCAAGGGACAAGGAAGCCAAGACCCAGCCCACCCATACCTGCCCACATGCCCACTCTGCCCTGGGCATCCTACATGGTATGACAGAGGGTACCATCCCCTGGAGAATGCGGTGGTGTTTCTCACGGCCCAAACTCACATCACTTGAGCTCAGTTACTGGCGGCAGGGGGCTGCCCCCTCAGCCCCAGCCTCTGCTCCTGGGGACATGGCTTCTGTCTCAACCCACAGCTTAAAGCGGGAGATGCGGAGCCTGTCGGAAGAGTGCAGCCTGGAGCCCGTGACGGTGGCCATGGCCTACGTGTACTTCGAGAAGCTGGTCCTGCAGGGCAAGCTCAGCAAACAGAACCGCAAGCTGTGCGCCGGTGCCTGCGTGCTGCTGGCCGCCAAGATCAGCAGCGACCTGCGCAAGAGCGGCGTGAAGCAGCTCATCGATGTGAGTGCTGGATCCACGGGCAGGGCCACAGCGGGTGGGGGGGTGGGGGGGCACTGCAGCCCTGCGGGGGCGGCTGGCAGGATGGCTCCCGTGTAACCTTTCTCTCCCTTCCCTGCAGAAGTTAGAAGAAAGGTTTCGATTCAACAGGCGCGATCTGATCGGGTTTGAGTTCACGGTGCTCGTGGCTTTGGAGCTGGCCCTGTATCTCCCCGAGAATCAAGTGTTACCTCATTACCGGCGCCTCACCCAGCAGTTCTAGCAGATGCGCCACGAAGGCTCAGGGCACCAGGCGCACTTGCTGGCCTGGGAGGTATCCCAGCCACTCAAGCCCCACGCCGCCTGGCCTGCCAGCGCCCCCAGCACCCACTGCAGGAGGCACCTGGCCTCTGGCTGGCGAGGCTCTTCCTTTTGCCTTTTTCCTTGGAAAGGGACGTCACTGTCACCCCAGGTGCACCGCACCTCCAAGGATACTTCTGAGAATTCTGGATTTTTACATAAACTAAATATCAGTTTTGTTATTTTTTTTCATGTGCCCAAGACCAGCCTGGCACCAGGACCTTTGGTTCACAGCGTCTCTCACTGGCCTCGCCTCCTGCAAGCAACCACAGCCACCACAGCATCAGGGTGGAGAGCTGGGTTTCTAGACCTCACTGAATACACTCAGATCGCCAAGTCTAACTGGAGATTGTTTTTTCGGGTGTGGGTTCCCCAGCAGCGTCTCCCAACCCCGAATGCATCTGGCCCCCCTGCTGCCTGAAGCCAAGCTCCAGAGCTTTCTCCGCCCACCTCGCCTTGCCGAGTGTGGTTTCTGGCATCCGGTTCAGCCAGCAGGAGCAGTCTCCGAACTCACCTTGACGTCATTTTTGGACTCTTGGACCTGTTCAAGCATTGTGTCACTGTGAAATCCTGACACCCCGTGTCCTACAAACTGACGGCACGACAGACAGCTGCTGTCCCATGCCAGGCCCCCTGTGCCTCACTGGGAGACACTCTGGGCCTCCAGAAGAATTGCTGCTTGCCAGCTCTTGACTTAACATTCTAAGCAATATTGTGACGGAGAAAAATTAACATATTTATTATGATTTGGGATTCGGTTTTTTGGGTCTTTTTTTTTAAGGGAACAAAAAATGGTTAGATGAGGTCTGCTTAAGTCAACTGGAAACCACACTTGACCTCACGCAGGAAGGCACTGACTGCACCCCACACGACCGCCAAGGCTGCCAAAGGGTCCGTGTGTCAGTGCCGCCTCTTCCACAGGAAACAGGTACTCTTGGCCACCCTGGCCAGGGCAGCCCACCGTGCTGCTGAAAGGTCCCCAAGTGGTCATTGTCCCTTCTGTGCAGGCCAGCAGGGCCCATCTCCAGCTTTCCCATATCTGTCCAAGTTTCCTGCAGTGAGCTTTGCATGGTCCGGTTCTCCAACTAGTAGCCTCATCACAAACACTCAATAACCGAGGAATGTTGTTTTTCTTCCTAGGTCAGCTGGTCTCAAAACTGGCCACTGGCCCAGCCAAGCTTTTTCCTCCCACTACCTTACAAACCTGCCTGGCCCTGTAGGGACTCTAGTCCAACTTGTCTCTAGTCCATTAATACATTCTATGCTACTTGTGTGGACGGGTGCCTCCGCAGAAAGGAGATGCCAATTCTGCTATCACAGAACTCCACCCGATCCCAGCAGCGGTGCAAGGCAGCTGCCAGCGCCCACCCGGCCCCCCTCCTTTTCCAGGCCTACTTGCTGGGGCCGAGACCCAGAGATAGCAGGTGTGGGAGAGGCTCCCGGATGAGGACAAACCAAAGCCTTTGTTCCTGGTTACTGCTGAACATCCCCTTCTATCAAGCAGCATGCCCTCAGGCCAAGGATGATCCCCTGGCACCAAGCATGCACCCAGAGGAGGACTTGTCTTCCAAGCTCTGAAAAGCACCCTCCTACCACCCAGATCCCATCACAACAGCTTGTCCTTGTTACCAGCATGTGAGGGATGGACTTCTAGTAACTGTTGCAGTTTACAACCTGCCCTCCAGGGACATACAGCTCCATGGTTCTTTCTACATATGAAAGCAAGAAATGGATAAGCACAGTATTTGTGTTTTTACGTTACCAAACCGGACTATGTGAAGCCTTCCCTTCAGTATGTCCATTTTAATAATGCCAAGAGCTGCCACTGTGTGGTACTTGAGGATTATTGCAACAAAGCCAGTGGTTAAACCAAACTACACTCTGAACTTGTCATTCTCTAGCACTAGTCCAGGTGTCTGAGCTGTGACTCAACAAAACCAGGCCTGGCGTTGCTTCCGAAGCACTGGTGGCAGCTGTGGATGTAAATGTGCGAAGAGGTTATCTGACCTCACAGTGTTTGAGTTATGTTGTCAGGTGTTTTAAACGGCTAATGTATTTGTACTTTAAACCTTGGTTTTGTGACACACGTCACAACTTGCCTCCTTTCAGCTGAGTACCCACCCCATCCCCGTCGCCCACTGACAACAAAACCCCAGCCCTGGGCCCACAGCAGAGAATGAACCTGCACGTGTAGGTTTTCGCTATTTATTTATGACAAATACTCCGTATCTGCGATTCTCTCCAGTCAAAAATTCCTAGAACCAGGAGAAAAGGACGTTAGGACCACATCCCGAGCAGCCCTTGTCCACCTACTCTGCCCAAATGGGAGCCCCCAACCTTACTTTGAGACGATGCCATCAGCCTTGGCCAATCGGAGAATTGAATCATCTGACTCACCCTTAAAAAAAACAGCACACTAAGATGATTTCCACTCCAGCTGCCTAAGATGGCAGGTGGTCAGCTGTGTGACCAGCCCACATCCCCCACCCCACTAAGCAAATGGACACTGGCGCAGGCGGGCAGCCAACTCTCCCGGGAGGAGCAGGGGCAGCCTCCAGCCTGACTATGTGGCGTGAGGTGCCTCCTAGTGAGAGGCAGAGTCTACTGCCTGAGTGTTTTCTCATGGCACCCCTCTTCCAATCCCAGGAAGAGAGAGGCAGGCAGGCAGCACAGTGCAGCTGTCAGCAAATCTGCTCAGGCACCATCACAGATCAAATGCGCAGGGAAAAGTCCACCATGTCCCGAGATGATGAGCACTGCCCAGGAAACACTCACCATCCTACGTATGGCCCCGCAGATAGCGTAAGTTTTAAACTGGCCGTTAAACCTGCCTGTGACCTTGTCAACCTAGAAAGAGAAGAAGGGTCACAAACCACTCCCCTAAGTTTGGGAAACCAATCCTCAAAGCCAGCCTCTGCCTGTATCTTCCCCCTTGGGGCTCCTCCCTAATGGGCCAGGCCTGCCTCTCCCGGCACAAACATCCCACATTCTCCTTCGGGGCTCCCAGCTCACCTCGGCCACGTTCATCTGGATGGATGCGTGGTCCTTGGCACCGATGATGCGGTTGCTGGCGGAGCTGTGGAGGAAGACGGCGCAGTGAGCAGAGGGGAGGAGGGACATGGAGGAGTGCTGAGGGAGTGTGGATGGAAAAGACGAACGTCGGAGGAAATAAGGACACGCGAGGGACGTGGCGGCGTAAGAACGGCAGGGATGCGGGGAATAAGAGCAGGCCAACGCACGCGTGCGATGTGGAAGGGGCAGGGGCATGTGGGGGTGCAGTCAGCGGGGCGTGGGGAGGGCACTCACCATTTCCGCGGCACGTACAGGTCCACGAACTCGCCGGCGTCGTTCTGCATCTCGAGGCTGCGCCTACGGGGTCACCGCGCGGCGGCATGAGGACGGTCGGAACGGTGCCCCGGCTCCCGGCGCAAACCCGCCCCTAGGGTCTCGGCCCCAGCCGCAACCCGCACCCCGTTCCCCGTGTCCAAGCCCCCGCTCCTACCCAAGCCCAGCCCTGAGCCCACAGTCCGCGCCGCGCGCCATACCTGTTACCACCACACCGCGCACGAGTAGAGAAAGGAAGCGGCGTGTCACCCGGCAGAGAAACCAGTGGGCAAGGCGGGGCCTCAGTGAGTGCTTCCGGGTCACACAGCCACAGCGAGTCTGCGCGATGCGTTTTTGCTGGCCGCCTCCCTGACGCACTTCCTGTTTCGACGGTTGTGGTGGTGGGTGTCCCGGACCTGCCCGGTGGGTCCTAGGGTACGCGGTGGTCGCCCGGCGCGGCGTCTTGTCTTAGCCCCTTGGCTGTGCCCCACGGACGCAGTCGACCCTTGCGAGCGCCTCGGGAGCCGCGAATGGGCACCTGGGAGAAGGGGCGGGGGCTGAGCCTAGCTGCCTGCTGCCGGCCAGGCCGGGGATACGGACGTGCCCCTCGCAGCGCGCCCCCAGCCCGCCGGTCCCCTGACCCTGCGGCCACCTGGGGCGTGGGGAGGTTCCCCTGCCCGTGGACGGAGCCGCTGCGGGCGGAGGCCTCCTCCCCAGGTGCCTGCTGGTCACACTCCCGCGGGCTGGTGGGCGAAGGACGCCCGCAGGGACTCCACAGAGGAGAAATTCAGACAGTTCCTGAGGGTAGGGAACGACACCGGCCCACCGCGGAGTCAGAAGCACCTGGCCACCCTGGGGTCCCATTTTTCACCAGTCAGACCCCCAGGACAGGGCAGGGGAAGCAAACAAAACCAGGCCTGGTGTTGCTTCCCCAGCACTGGTAGCAGTTGTGGACGTAAATGTGCGGAAGAGTGCAAACTGAGGGTCTGGCGCGGTGGCTCATCCCTGTAATCCCAGCACTTTGGGAGGATGAGGCTGGTAGATCATGAGGTTAGGAGTTCGAGACCAGCCTGACCAACATGATGAATCCCCGTCTCTACTAAAAAACAAAAATTAGCCAGGCGTGGTGGTGGGTGCCTGTAATCCCAGCTACTTGGGAGGCTGAGACAGGAGTAATCGCTTGAACCCGGGAGTCAGAGGTTGCAGTGAGGTGAGATGTGGCCACTGCACTCTAGCCTGGGCCACAGAGCAAGACTCCGTCTCAAAAAAAAAAAAAAAAAAAAAAAAAAAGAAAGAAAAACAGGCCAGGCGCGGTGGCTCACGCCTGTAATCCCAGCACTTTCGGAGGCCGAGGCGGGTGGATCACGAGGTCAAGAGATCGATCAAGACCATCCTGGTCAACATGATGAAACCCCATCTCTACTAAAAATACAAAAAATTAGCTGGGCATGGTGGCGCATGCCTGTAATCCTAGTTACTCGGGAGGCTGAGGCAGGAGAATTGCCTGAACCCAGGAGGCAGAGGTTGCGGTGAGCCGAGATCGCGCCATTGCACTCCAGCCTGGGTAACAAGAGTGAAACTCCGTCCCCCCACCCAAAAAAAAAGAAAGAAAAGAAAAACAAAAAAGAATGCAAACTGGGGCATCGTTCCCCTGAAGCACTTTGGCCCCTCCAAGCCACTCCTGGGAATGTGCTCCGAGGAGTAAAGATGACACAAAGATGGGCCCACGAAGAGTGATCATTGATGGGTGGGGTCTTGCAGCCCGAACCCTGTTGCCAGGAGGAAGCTCCAAGATAGATGGAAGGGGTATCGGGGCCTGTGTTGGGGTCTTCTCTGTGGGGGGACATAATCCTAGGATGTAGAGCTAGCCTCAGAAAACCAAGGCCCAAGCAGGGAAGGGGCTTGGCTGAGCCTAGTGGCAGAACATGGGCCAAACCCCACAGCCCTCTCCCTGCCCCAACCCCTCCCAATTTCCACCATCCCATTCCTCCACAGAGCAGTGCGGACTGAGCAGTGCTAATGCCATACCCATTGCTGGTGCCAAGGGTCCATTCATGGAAAAAACAAATATCCCAGAGACGCCCCCACCCCACATCTGTGGGAGTGTGCATGGCAGTCCCTCAGTTAAGATGTCTGTTTGGGACTTTGTCTTCCAGATGAGACAAGACCCCAAGAGGACAGGCTCAGGACCATGAACATCCCACCTCTCCCATAGGGGCCCCACAGGCTAAGCCACAGAAGCCTCTAGAAACACAGCTGGTGCCTGCGCTGCCCCTTTGCCTGGACAGCCCTACTCCAGGCTGAGCTCCAGGTCTCATCTCTCACATCTTTTCCTGACCCAAGCCCATGTCAGCTTATACTGTTAAGGGCTCTCAGAGAACCCACTTTTCTCATGCCAATTCACTTGTCATTAGCCACTGATTTCTGGAACTGTTTGCCTGAGGCATCTTCCAAGTGCCTGGGAGTTCTCTGGGGCTGCACGCTGGACACAGGATTGAGGGAAGGCACTAAGGGTCCCTAACACAGCATGGTCCGAGTCAGGCCGACTTCATTAACATCTGGACCTGGTTGGAACTGAGGCCACAAGTTCTGCTGGGCTTGGAAGCCACGTGTTCATGTGGGTGTCTGTGGTGGTTTCCACTGGACTCCAGCAACCAGGCATCGGAAGTGAGGTCACTGAGGCCATCGTCTTTCAGGAAGGTCACTGTTCATGTGGGCCCTGAGATGCCTGCTCTTTTCAGACCCTCAGCACATGTGCGGAGATGACTTGCTGTTTGCAGTTGGAGATCTGCACAGCTGACCTGCCCGTCTGTGTCTGTGTGTGAGTTGCCCAGCGAGGCCTGGGGAGTTTAGAGATTCTCTCCAGCTGGAAAGCCAGAGACAGGGGCAGCCAGAGGACCAGAAAGGAGAGAGTAGCAGAAAGAACTCGAGGTCTGCAGAGGGTCTTCCCTGCGTGGTCTGGAGAGTACTGTCAGCGCATTTCCTAAAGGCTGGAGAAAGAACCATTCAGAAGATTACTCAGGGCTCACACAGGCCTGGAAATAGTACTTGCTTTCCTCAACTAGACTAGAAAAGCTCACAATCACAGGACATTGGATGGAGTACTCAGAAAGGTCTTGCATCAGTAACAGGGAGTAGTTATCCCTGCCCTGAATGTTTCCTGGGTCCCACCTAAGAAATTATACAGGCAAAACCTGAAAGGATCAAACTGCTTCCGAGTAATTTAATTGCATCCCAGAAAAAAAGCTTAGGAGTTTTTACAGGAATACATTCATAACAAGTGCCCAGTAGGGTGAAATACACATTGTGTGGCATCCAGTCAAAAATTACCAGACATTTAAAGAAGCAGGAAAGGCCAGGTGTGGTGGCTCACGCCTGTAATCCAAGCACTTTGGAGGCCAAGACGGGTGGATCACCTGAGGTCAGGAGTTTAAGACCAGCCTGACCAACATGGTGAAACCCCGTCTTATTAAAAAAAAAAGAAGCAGGAAAATACGGCGTGTAATTAAAAAAAAAAAGCGATCAATGGAAATTGTTCCAGACCTAACACAGATGTTAGAATTAGCAAACAAGGACATTATAACAGTTTTTTTGTTTGTTTTTTTGAGAACAAGTCTTGCTCTGTCGCCCAGGCTGGAGTGCAGTGGCGGATATTGGCTCACCAAAACCTCCCCCTCCCGGGTTCAAGCAATTCTCCTGCCTCAGCCTCCCAGGTAGCTGGGACTACAGGCGGGAGCCACCACACCCAGCTAATTTTTTTTTTTTTTTTTTTTTTTTTTTTGAGACGGAGTTTCGCTGTTGTTACCCAGACTGGAGTGCAATGGCACGATCTCGGCTCACTGCAACCTCCGCCTCCTGGGTTCAAGCAATTCTCCTGCCTCAGCCTCCCGAGTAGCTGGGACTACAGGCGCGCAGCACCATGCCCAGCTAATTTTTGTATTTTTAGTAGAGACGGGATTTCTCCTTGTTGACCAGGATGGTCTTGATCTCTTGACCTCATGATCCACTCGCCTCGGCCTCCCAAAGTGCTGGGATTATAGGCATGAGCCACCACGCTCAGCCTAATTTTTGTATTTTTAATAGAGATCAGGGTTTAACCATGTTGGCCAGGTTGATCTTGATCTCTTGACCTCGTGATCTGCCCGCCTCAGCCTCCCAAAGTGCTGGCATTACAGGCGTGAGCCACTGCGCCAGGCCTATAACAGTTTTTATATAACACCTTCCGTATATTGAAAACATTTTAGCAGAGACATGAAGATATAAGAAAGATCCAGGACCAGGCACAGTGGCCCATGCCTGTCATCCCAGCACTTCGGAAGGCCGAGGCGGGGAGGTCACCTGAAGTCAGGAGTTCGAAACCAGCTTGGCCAACATGGTGAAACCCCATCTCTACTAAAAATACAAAACTTAGCCAGGTGTGGTGGCACATGCCAGTAATCCCAGCTATCTGAGAGGCTAAGGCAGGAAAATCAATTAAACTCAGAAGGCAGAGGTTACAGTGAACTGAGATTACGACATCACACTCCAGCCTGGGCGACAGATCGAGACTCCATTTTGAAAAAACCCTTCTCTATACTAGGGAATTTGACAAAGCTACATACATGCGCGTCCAGGACAGGATGCACGCTCAGAGAAGATGTGAGAAGACCACTGGCCACCTGTACGTTCAGTGCAAGCAGGAATGAAAGCTAGAGCAGAATTATAAATGGCGTGCTTAGCCAGGTGTGGGGGCGCACGCCTGTAATCCCAGCTACTTGGGAGACAGGTGGGAGAATCGCTTGAACCCAGGAAGCAGAAGTTGCAGTGAGCCAGGATCGTACCACTGCACTCCAGCCCGGGCAACAGAATGAGAATTCGTCTCACAAGAAAAAAGGTAAGCTGCTAATAAAGGAGAGACAGGAATGTATAAATACATACATATGTGCGTACATACATACGTACATACATACATACACACATACGTACGTACATACATACATACATATATATGTGGCATGCTTAAATGTTAAGGGAAGCCAGGCCTGGTGGCTCATGCCTGTAACCCCAGCACTTAGGTAGGCCAAGGTGGGCAGATCACGAGGTCAGGAGTTCCAAACCAGCCTGGCCAACATGGTGAAACCCCTTCTCTACTAAAAATACAAAAATTAGCTGGGCGTGATGGTGCACACCTATAGTCCCAGCTACTTGGGAGGCTGAGGCACTAGAATCCCTTGAACTTGGGAGGTGGAAGTTGCAGTGAGCCAGGATTGCACCACTGTACTCCAGCCTGGACAACAGAGCAAGACTCCATCTCAAAAAAAAAAAAGTGTATTTTATTTTGCATCAGTTAATTCAAAATTTTTTCAAAGACTACACTCACACAAAGCACAGAAGGCCACTCTCGGCACCGTGTCTCCAAGGCTGAGTTCTTCAGGGGAAACCCTGCAACCTGCATCTCCTGGGTGCATGCAATATGGAGAAGCACTTCTTTAAGAAAACCTCCGTACAAAATTGCAGACCCCCAAAACAGAGAAGGGAGTGTCCTCCCAAGGGAAGCCATCTGGGTCTCTCCATGAGGAGAGCCTCCAGGGACCTGTAGAGGAGGTGGCACCGCTTAGCTGTCAGGAGCCTTGGGGCCACCAGCACTGTCCCCAGAAGCCACTAGGTGGTGTCTGAGAGCAGTGCTGGAGCAGGGAGGGGCTGGCCTGTGGGCTCCCTGCTGGCTGAAGGGAGCTGAGACCCTTACCTTGGTCCCTTCACCCCCTCTCTCTACAGTAAGCTGTTTGCTGAGCCTCCAGTGCATCTCAAGTGGGAAAGGTCCAGAGAGCAGGTGTGAAGGAGGGACTCAGGAGCAGGAGGACCCAGCACTGGAAGATACTGTCAAGCTGAGCCTTTTTTTTTTTTAAAGATGGGGTTTCACCATATTGGTCAGGCTGGTCTCGAACTCCTGACCTCAGGTGGTCTGCCCACCTCAGCCTCCCAAAGTGCTGGGATTACAGGCGTGAGCCACCTCACCCAGCATGCTGAGCCTTTTTTGCAGAATCCTAGAGCAGCCCCAGCAGCTCAGAGCAGCCGCTGCCTTGGCAGAGTGATCACAGTCGGGGTCTCTCAGTGCCCCTGCACCCACCCCAGAGCACGCACACACCTGCTCCTGCCCCCATTATGCCCCGCAATTGCTGTATATAACTTTGACTGCGAGTATCACCTAGGTTTATGCCTCTGTGACCTGGCACAAATTTCTTAGCTGCCTCTCCCTCCAGCCATAAAGTGGAGCGATTATCATGGAGCCACCCAGCCATGCTGGAGTTAGCTGCTTTCAACAAATCAACACCTATCCGGTGCTCAGAAAAAGATGTGGCACCCAGGAGTTACTCAGTATACTAGCACTAGCCATCATCACCACCATCATCATTATATCATCACCATCGCCACACCACCACCCATTACCATCACCACTGCCACCATCATCACCACTACCAGCATCAACCATCACCACACCACATCACCACCATTACCCATCACCACTACCCATCACCATCATCACCATCACCACACCGCCATCCTCATCACCATCACCACCACTACCAGCATCAACCATCACCACACCACATCACCACCATCATCATTACATCATCACCATCGCCATACCACCATCACCACCACCACTACCCATCACCATCATCACCACACAACCATCACCACCACCCATCACCATCACCTCTACCCATCACCATCACTACCAGCATCAACTATCACCACTACCACCCATCACCATCACCACCACTACCAGCATCAACCATCACCACAAGACATCACCACCACTACACATCACCATCACCACCACGATTACCATCATCACCATCACCACTACCCATCACCACCACCACCACCATCATCACCACCATCACCATCACCACCACCATTGCCACCACCATCATTGTCATTGTTTCTATGCCCAAGATCACAAGGCTAGGTCTGGATTTGAGGCTGTTGGCTCAGGAGGCCACACTGTAGCCACCCTGATCTCACGCAGGCACCTATCAGGCTGCCCAGGCAGGTGTCTGTGCACAACAGCCCTGCTCCACTCTCCAGCTCTCCGCAGGCTCACCTCACAGGCAGGTAACCTGACCTTCTCAGACGTGTGGTAGTGCAGCCTGTGAGAGGAGCCTCCCTTCTCCTTCCCAGAGCATCTGTTTCTGGGCCAAGCAGGACCCAGGCCAGCCCCAAATGCATTGTGCGTAGAAGGGAATAAGCCCACAACAAGGAAATCCTCCTTCCAGGCCAGAGAGGTGGGTGTCCTGGTGAGTGGCAGGTCAGGGCCTGGGATAGGCCTTCTCCTGCAGCTAGCCTGACACTGAGCTAGCTATAGCCACCGGCCCCTACACCTGCCCCAGGCAGAATCTGCCTGGGTGAAGGCTACAACAGCCAGCGTCAGAGTGGGATTCATGGGGTGTGGGGAAAACATGGACCTGGTCCTGAGCTGTGGGGGGATTCCTGGGGCACCGCCTCCTTAGCCATGACTCCGGGCATCCTCCGGTCTTGGAGAGACAGAGGGAGTAACAGCCCCGCCTCAGGCTTGCAGATGCTCCAGTGAGGTCACCAACACTAGGGGCAGGCCCAGCTACCCAGGAGCCCTGGAGACTGTCACCGCATTTGTCACAGGGAGTGCTGGGCCAGTGTGCCTTCCCATTTTGTGCCATTCAGTTTTACTTTAATTCCCTTTACTATTTTGTTGTTTGAATTTATTGTATTAGATGAGGCTTTAGAATTTTTTCACTGAGGGAAGAGCCTACCCACGAGGAAGTGCCCAGATCGGCTGTGATCATGGCTGGCACTGGGTCAGAGCCTGGGGGCCCAGGGCACCTTCCGCATTCCACTCCCTGGAGGTTCCTCATGCCCCTTTCCAGGACATGGTGAAGACGGGCAGAGGGGCTGAGCTGGCCAGGCCTGTGCACTGGGTCCCACCATGAGTCCCCTGGATTACAGGCCAACCCAGCAGAGACACGGAGAAGTTGGAAACACCCACGCATGTCCCGTCCTCTGTCCCAACACCTCCTGGGGGCTGGCCAAAGTCTGAGCCAAATGAGGCACTTCCATCCCAGTGGACACGCCGAGGGCTCCCACACTGGCCGGGCACCAGGCCAGCTCAGCCAGCTGGTTCAAAGAGAGGAAGCTGAAGGGGAAACCGGAAGCAAAGCCCACTCGGCCTCCAGGACCAGGCCCGCCTTGGGCAGAGGCTGGCGTCCATCCCCACCTGGGACCCGTGGGCCTGTGTCCTGAGCTGGGCCCAGGCTGACCTCTGACCCCAGCATAGGCCAAGCCCCAGTCTAGGCTCCAGGCCAAATTCCCACCCCAGACCCCAGGCCTCAGCATTCCAGACCCCAGGCCCCAGCATTCCAGAGCCAGGCAGCACCCTAATTAAGGCAGAGACCCAGAAACCAGACAGGCCTGTTTCTGGTGCCACCTCCACACACACCAGTCCGTCTCCTCTCTAAGCCACAGCTTCCCCATCTGGAGGCAGAATCTTTTCTCCTTAACCCTGGGTGGAGGTGAGGATTCATTAGGAAAGGGGCTGCCAGGGACCTCATGAGGGGTACACTATGCAGAGGCAGGGGGTGCGAATAGACACAGAGATATAGTAATTTGACTGCGTTCACTTTTGTCACTGTTTTCCCAATGAAAATGGGCCTCCTTGCTGGGGCGGTGGCTCACGCCTGCAATCCCTGCACTTTGGGAGGCTGAGGAGGGCAGATCACGAGGTCAGCCTGACCAACAAGGTGAAACCCCATCTCTATTAAAAATACAAAACTTAGCCAGGCATGGTGGTGCACACCTGAAGTCCCAGCTACTCAGGAGGCCAAGCCAGGGGAATCACTTGATCCCGGAAGGTGGAGGTTGCAGTGAGCCAAGATTGTGCCACTGTACTCCAGCCTGGGCAACAGAGTGAGACTCTGTCTCAAAAAAAAAAACAAAAGGAAAAGGAAATGGGCCTCCTCTGCCTGCCTGTCTATCCAAGAAGGGGCCTGGGACTGGCTTTCCAGGGCCCAGCTCCTCCTGCCCTTGGAGAACCGTCCAGAATGTCTAAGCCAGCAAGCAGGCGGACAGACACAGGGCTCCACGGAGCAGGGTCTCCAGCGCCAGGGCCAGACCGCAGGGCCAGGAGAGCCTCGTCAGAAGGCTCCGTCCTTCCACCTGTGACTGTGGCCTGAGAGGAGTCACCGTCCGGGAAGCCCACGGGGTTCCTGACCAGCAGCCAGGCACCTGTGGGGCCCTGCGGAGACCCCATGGCAGCCCTCTGGGAAGGACAGTTATCAGACCATTGACAGAGCAGGGACTGAGGCCAAGAGGGGATGGAGTCGCTTCCCCGGGAGTGAAGACTGGAGGGCCAGGTGTGCCCAGTGGGAATGGCAGGATTTCGGGCATAGCACGTTCAGAGACAGCAGTGTGGGGCCCTCATTTCTCCAGCCCTGGTGGTGCCCAGCCAGGAACCTCGGACCCCTGCTCCGCCCCCATCTCCCCCAGCACAGTGCAGCCTTACTGAGCCCCAGACCAACCCTGCATGCCAGCACCGCAGGAAGCAGCCCAGAGGAGAGGCTTTGTTACGTCTTGAAAGCCTCCACAGAAAGTGACAGAATCCACATTCCTGCCCCAGGTGAGTCGCCCAGGCTTGTCCTGCTCAGCCTGGCCCTCCCAGCTCCTCAAGGCTCCAGCCCGGCCCAGCTCTGGGCCCGGCTGGAGCTCCCAGGCCCTGGAACGACCTTCGGGAGCCAACACGCCCCCGAGGGGCAGCAAGAGGCCCCCATCTGCTGGGACTTCCGCAGGTGGTACCGCAGGGTCTGAGGTTGCCCTGGGCTCTGGGCCAAGGTGGATTGAACCTGAGGCAGCCCTGTGAGGAGACCTCAGAGAGGGGATGGGGTTGCACTTCCTGCCCAGCCGCTGTGTGCCACGAAGGACTCTCAACCCGCCATGCTAGTGGGAGGCACCCAGCAGTCGGCAGGGCCCTGGAGGGCTCTTGCCAAGAAACTGGCACCCGGCCTGGGAGGCGGGCAGAGCCTCGGCCCCCACCTCCCTCCCACAGCACCACCACCTCTCAGAGCTTGGGGCCTCTGCCTCAGGGGGTGCTTTGCCCACTCCCCTCGGGGCCTCACAGCCACCCAGCAGGGAGGGACCATTGTCCCCACCCAACACTCAAAGCCCTAAGACTCTCCCAGGCTCCCAGCTAGGGACCCACTGAGCTGAGATTGGGCAAAGAATGGACCAGGCCTGCCAGCTCCCCCACTATCCTGGCCAGGACACAGGGCAGTCCCTGCCTGGCCGCTGTCCCCAGCTTCAGGGAGCCTGCATTGGGAGTCAGAAACCCTCTCTGAGCTCCAAGTCTGCATTACAAGGCTACATGAGCACCTGCCATTGATTCATTCATTCCCCAAACAGGGAAGCCACGTCCTCATAAACCCATGGTACGTTAGGAACACCCACAGCTGAAACGCCACACTTAACTCACAGAGTCGCAGCTGAGCCCTGCCTGCCTTGCACACACTCAGCACACGCACATTAGCCTACAGCGGGCGAAATCACCGCACATGAGCCTCCTTTATAACAATGCAGTGAACCGCTCCAACGCCCTACGAGAGAGAGCAGATTGGCTCTGTTGGGCACTTGAAGTGCGGTTTCTATGCAACAATTGCAAATCAGAAGTCGGGGACCACCGAGCACAGAGTACCCACCGTGTCCAAGCCGGTGGTGGGTACAGGGGCCCCTTGGTGCATGGAACAGACAGCCCTGTCCCCAGGGGCTTGCAGCCTGGGGTGGGGGACAACTGGCATCCCAGGAGGGTCTAGGGCAGGGTCTCACCAGGAGAGCACCCCCCTGGACATGCAGCCCCTCAGAAGACGTTGTTGGTTGTCCCAGCTGGAGGGCAGGTGTCTCTGGCCTCTGCAAAGTGGGGGCCCAGCTGCTGCTCAGACTCAGGGCAGTGTCCAGCCAGCCTGTCCACCTGGCGCCTATCCCAGGCTCTGAAGGGCCATGGCCCAGATGAAGGGGCTCCAGGGGCAGATGGCCAGGGAAGGCCTCTCTGCATTAGTGACTTCCACAGAGTGAGCGAAACTGACAGCCTCGTCCCTCTGCAGGTCCCCAAGGCCTGGGGAGAGGAGACTCTGAGAGCGCTGCCGCCTGGGGCAGGCAGAGGCAGGCAGGTCCCAAGGGAGCAGCCGCGCCCGCCGGGTGCCAGGCCTGGGGAATTCCAGGAGGCGGAGGACTCAGAAGCTCTCCAGGCTCCCAGATCCCAGCACCCCGGCCGCATTCCTCCACCTGGGTGGGCAGGCATGCGGGGGCTCAGCGCATTCCTGCTGGGGATAGGGGCCGGGGAGCCCTGTCCAGGCTCTGCTGAGCTCTTGGCTACTGGAGTGGACCCAGAGCCCTGCCACGGTGGCTCCAGTCGGCCTCTGCTGGAGCGAGAGGAAGGTAGCCTTTGCCTTTCGGGGTGGGGAGGAGCCATTTGCGGATAAGGCAGGGATTCACCAGCCCCAGGACAGGGCGGGCTGGGTGGGCAGGACACAAACACTTCCAACCGGAGCCTCCCATCTGTAAAATGCAGATAACAAGGGGGTCAGGTTGGGGCTCACGCCTGTAATGCCAGCACTTTGAAGGGCCGAGGCAGGCGGATCACTTGAGGTCAGGAATTCCAGACCAGCCTGGCCAACATGGTAAAACCTTGTCTCTACTAAAAATAAGAAAATTAGCCGGGCGTGGTGGTGCACCTGTAATCCCAGCTACTCAGGAGGCTGAGGCAGGAGAATCGCTCCAACCCGGGAGGCAGAGGTTACAGTGAGCTGAGATTGCGCCACTGCACTTCAGCCTGGGCGACCAGAGCAAAACTCTGTCTCAAAAAAAAAAAAAAAAAAATACAAGAGCAGGTTCCTATCAGGAAATCAGAGCCAGCCCAGCACCTGGCCTGAAGGCAGCTCCGAGGGCCACCTGGGCTTCCTGCACAGAGGTGGGAGGGAGGTACAGGGGGCCCAAGTCAGGAAAACACAACCCCACATGTTCAGGGGTCTGGAGGCAGGGGCTGCGCCTCTGACCTGAGGCTGCACAGCGAGCCCTTGGTGGAGCCGAGAGCAGGCAGTGGGCAACTGGGCTGGCCTCCAGGAGGCTCTACCACAGCAGTTTTCTGCCCGCCATCCCCACTGCCACTCCCTGGGTTCTGAGAGGAAGCCCCGCAGAAGGCCATGCATAGACCCCCGACCTGGCTGCCCGGGGTCGTCCAGGTCCCTTGCAAGAAGGAGCCTGGGCTCCCAGTGGACCCCAGCACCATCTGTGGTCAGCAGAGCCTTCCAAGTCTCCATGTGTTTACATTCCCCCAGGAAATAGTTCCCCAGAAGAGCTGCAAATATTTTCTTAATGTTGGACCTTGTGACAAACAGAGGCATGGAGCTGGCCCACCCACCACCTTGCCCCTCCACGCATGGGGGGCCCAGTGGGATCCTGGAGTTACCTCCTCACCTGGCCCACCCCTTCCCCATCCTGGCAGGAGGCAGGTGCTGAGCAGGCATGTGGGGGTCCAGCTGGGGCATCTTCCTGGCAGAGCCTGGGCAGCCAGCCCAGGGCATTCGGTGGCACTACCCTCCTCCCACCTTTCAGCAATCCTTTTGTGAAACTGGGGTGACAGTAGGTGGAGGTGACTGAGGCGTTGCTTAGCGGTGTGAATCACTGGAGACCCTAGGGGATGGGGTCAGGCCCTGGACCTGCAAAGTAACTCAGGCTCCTGGCAGACCAGGCCGAAGACGGAGGCAGCAGAGGGCCGTGACTCCTGCTCCTCAGAGCCCCTCCGTGTCTCCCACTCCAGGCTGTCAGTATTTAGGGCTGGATGTCCTGGGTTTCTGATGGCCCTGAACACCAGCCCATGCCTCTCTGTGCAGGGGCACAGGTCCAGCTGGCATTGGCAGGCTGTGGCCCACGGGCCCACCTCTACTGATCTCCACCTGAAGACCCCCAGGCACCTGCCCACCCTAACAGGCCTCTGCAGGCCCACTCAGCACCCACACCCTCCCTGGCTGTTGGTCTCAGCCCAGCAGAGCCTCCCTCTCCCTCCCCACACTGGTGAGGGGGCTGGCCATGCACATGCCGGGCCTCCAGTCCCTGGGCAGCCCTCCAAGAGTCCACCTGTCCAGAGTGCCGTTACTGTTCATGGCTGATGTCCACTGTGTGGATGGACCACGTTTCTCTCCCCTGTTGACCCTGGATGGCCATTGGGGCTGTTTCTGCCGGATGGGTCTCATGCCTGGGCACTGCCATGAATGTTAACCCCTAAGTGTGCGGGCACCTATTTACGCTTCTCTCTGCAGCTACCAGGTGTGGAGCTGCTGGGCCAAGTGCAAGTCTGTTCCATCATTTGAGGCACCACCAGCCGGTGTCCTGGCAGCTCTTGCACAGGGGTCCTGGTCCCTGCAGGGTCCAGCCCACAGTTGCAATTGTCTGACTTCCTGATTCTGTCGGTGGCTGCAGAGTGAGGACCACGGTGTGGACGGACATGGGTCTGTGGGCAGTGGGAAGGTGATGGGAGGGGGTGATCAGACGTTCGGCCACCATCGTCCAGCAGCCTAGTGCTCGGCTCAGACACCGCAGTGAGCACATGGAGCTGTCCCTGCCTTGTGGGCTGCGTGTGGGGGCCTGATGTGGGCCAGGACATCTCATCCTGGACGCCTAAGGCCATGCTGCACTGTCCTCTGTAAGCTGGGGGCACCAATGTGCCTCCCGGGAGGAGGGCACAAGGACAGAGGGGCCAGCTGCATCGTGGACAGCACTTTCAGTGTGGAGGTGCTTAGCCCAAGCTGCGGCGCCCAGGATCCTGGTTAACTGCAAAATCTGGACCAGCTCCTGGGTAGGAACTGTGGCCTGCTGTGTCCCTGCTATGGCACCAGTCCCTAGAGTGGACCCAGCGTCACTCTCCATCCAATCAAATTAAGTTACTGAGGCTCACATCTATAATTCCTAAGACCTTCGGCTGAGCTTGGCAGGTCTAGGGCAGTAGCAGGAGTCTCACAGAGAGAGCGAGAGAGAGACAAAGAGAGATAGAAGGACACACAGAGAGATACACAAACACAGAGAGAGAAACAGAGATGGAGAGACAGAGATCAAGACAGAGAGATACAGATAGAGACAGGAATGGAGACAAGCAGAAACAGGGAGAAACAAAGTAGAGACACAGAGAGAGACAGAGAAACAGAGACAGAGAGCGGTGGAGAATGAGAAGCCTGAGGGACAGTCAGGAGAGGGAGGAGTGGGAGGGAGCATCTCCCTCTGCCCCAGTTGCCCTGGCTGGCCAAGGCACACAGCAGGGGCCGCTGGGCACCATCAGGGCGCAGGTGGAGGGGATGAAGCCCTGTGGGCATTCATGTGATTGGAGGCAGCTGACTGTGGGGCCTGGGGGGACAAGGGGAGCCCTTTGCCCTGAGGAGGGGCCTTTGCAAGCTGGAGGTTCCCTTCCACATGGGACTTCCCCCATCCTGCTGCCAGATGTCCCAAGGTGGGGGAGGGGCTCTCAGCCCAGGAGGCCAAGGTCATGGGAGACAGCTGAGGGTGGGCTCCTGGGCCTGGGGGCCCTGGCCCCACCCAGGGCACAGTCCCAGGTCCCTGCCTGGGCTCTGGCTCTGCCCACTGGGCCCTCCTGGGAAGTCAGATTCCTCCTGGGCTTCGAGGCCTTCTGGCCATATAAGGCTGTCTTTGGGCACCTCCTGGAGAAGCTCAGAGCCGTCACCACCCCACCCTGTATGAGAACCAGAGCTCCACCAGGCAAGAACAGAGCCTGGGGAGGGCCCGCTGGAGCCACGGTCCTGCAGGGGAGGGGAGGAGGGCACAGGCAGGCCAGGACACAGGGGCTGGGGCTCAGGGTCCCTAGCCACCCCACCCAGCATGCTGGAGCACCCCCATTCCACCTGTCTCTCTGGGGGTCGGTCTCCGGGGCTCCCTAGAGCTGCCCAGTCTAAGCCCAAAGCAGGCAAGTAGTAAGAACAGGGGTCAGGGGTGAGGGTGGGGCCCGCAGGTAAATAAGATTAAGGTGACACCTGGAAACATAGGTGCCTGGCGTGGGGATGGATGCTGCAGCCCTGTGCCACTGCACGTTTACCCTGGGTGATGCCTTTTCTGGGGCTCCCCACAGATTTGGGGACAGGAGTCCTGGTACCCGCCTCATACCCCAGCAAGGTGCTGCGAGGTGCCCTGATGGGGCCCCACTTGAGGGACGGGGCGGGCTAGGGTCCTAGGAGCAGCCTTCTTACTGGACCGGCCCCTTCCCTGCCAAGCTGTAGGTGGTTAGATCCCAGGGAGGTCCGGGCCCCCTCCCTGAGAGTTCCCAGGGCCCCCTACCCCTTCCCTCTTGAGTTTGGCAGGGTGGAGGCTCCCCTGCACGCAGCTACACATGCCAAAGCTGGGGTGGGGGCGCCCGGGTGTGGTCCTGGGCTCTGGACTTGCGGTTGTCAAGCAGACCACCCCACAGAGCTCCATGAAGCGCTCCCCCATTTCTAAGCACCCCAGGGTTTGTGTTCTTGTCATGGGGGCAGGTGCTTCTCCCTGCCACTTGGGAAGAAAAGGAGATGGATGGTCGAGAGGAGCCTTGGGGACTATCTGTGGAGAGCCCAGGACCTGGGATGCTGACCCTCTCCAGGTCCCCCACACCTGGGCAGCCCCTAAGCCTGCCTGACCCCCTCTCGCATGGGGGCCCACCTCACACCCCCCATGTGGGAACCCAGTGGTGGCCCGTGGGTCAGGCCTGCAGGGGCCACAGGGAGTGGGTGGGCACTCGGCCTGCACAGGCAGTTTGTCCCCAGGAGCCCTAAGATGGTGGCCATGCTCCTGGCCTGGAAGGCTCTGAAGAGCCCCAAGTCTCTGGAGGGGCTGTGTGGCCCATGAGCTGGGCACACACTGCAAGTGGCAGAGGGGCCTGGGCCAGGCGGCTGGGGGACAGAATCCTCCATTCCTGGTTAGTGCCAGCCCACAGCCTGGCCTCTGTGCATTCCAACCACGTGCCCCAGATCTCATCAGGGGCCCAGCTGGGGCCACAGCAGGGAGGAAAAAGCACCACTTCTTCCAAACAGGCTGTTTCCAGATCCTCCCTAGGCCAGAATTGCCCAAGTCTCCCTTAGCTGCATCCTTCTGGCAGCAGGAGCCTGTGGATCCTGTGGACTGGAGACAGCGGCAGCCCTTCAGGGAATGCAGGCTCCAGGCCTGGGGCGGGTTCAGGCTGTGTGGCTCAGGGCCTCCTGGGGCCCAGCCTCCATTCCTTTGAGGCCGGCCCCCAGCAGGTCTGGGCTGGCTCTCACAGCAGTCTGTCCCCACAGTGGGGGGCCTCCTGGACCAAGCAATGGCCAAGAGAAGCTCTCCTAGCCCTGCTGGGTTTGTGCAGTCCTGATGAGACCCGGTCCTGCCAGCACCTGCTGGGTGTGTCCTGCTCCCAGGGCCTGAGCCGGACCAACAGTTCAGTTCCCACTTCTTTATCTCATGGACAGGGAAGGAGGTTCTTCCCGGCTGGCTCCCTGGAAGGGCATCCGAGCAGTCCTGAGAAAGCGACCGTGGCCTCCAACATCCCAAACCACGGTGCTGGCGTTCTTCCAAACCCTAACCCGGCTCAGCAACATTCACAGTTCTGGAGTGGGAGCCACAGGCCTCACCCGCAGGCCCGGCCCGAGCAGGCCAGCCTCCAGCCTGCCTTCCCTCGAAGGCCTGTGCAGCCCAGGTTCCTCCTGGGGGCTTCTCCCAGGGTGCAGCACCCACTTGGACCCTGGGGCAGGGCCAGCAGAAACGCTGGGCTCTGGTATGGGAGGATCTGCAGTCATCTGTCACCAGACTGTGGCCGCCCATGACGCAGCTGAGAGTGGGTGCGGGACACCCCTTGTCCTCAGCACAGCTGTGTCCCAGGAGGCTCCTGAGGTCAGGAGTTCACGGCTGAGTCACATGTGCCTATGGCCTGGCCCTCGGGGTCCCCCACAACTGCCTGCAGGTGTGGCCGAGCAGGGTGGGGGCACTTGTAGGAACCCGGCTAGAGTAGCGCTGCGGGCTCAGGTGAGGGGGCTGCCCCCAGGGCTTCTCAGCAGGCCTTGTCTGAGGGCTGAGGGAGGATCTGAGACCCCTTCTCCAGGACCAGGAGTGCCCCTACTTCTCTTGGCTGCACTGATCCCTCCCCAAAACCCACCTCTTCTGGGGCTCTGTCCCCCTGGAGTTGGGCAGGGGTTCTGGGTCTTGGATTGTTCCCGGAGGGCAGTCAGAGCCTGGTGGGACACAGCTTCTCCCTGCCCTGCCCCTGGCAAGCTGCCTCCTTTAACCCTCCCCTCCGCTCCCACACTGGGTAACTCCCTCCGTGGATTCAGGATAGAACATGTGTGTGGTGGTGGGGGAGCCTCCCAAGTAGCTGGGTTCTGTCTGACCTGCTGTGGGGATGACTACGTAGGGGCTAGTGGCCAAAAGATGCCCAGTAAATGTAGGGATAAGGAATGAATGACTGGGCCAGGCGTGGTGGCTCACGCCTATAACCCTGGCACTTTGGGAGGCCGAGGCAGGTGGATCACCTGAGGTTGAAAGTTCGAGACCAGTCTGGCCAATATGGGGAACCCCTTCTCTACTAAAAATACAAAATCAGCTGGGAGTGATGGCATGTGCCTGTAGTCCCAGCTACTTGGGAAGCTGAGGCAGGAGAATCACTTGAACCCGGGAGGCAGAGGTTGCGGTGGGCTGAGATCGCACCACTGCACTCCAGCCTGGGCAACAGAGTGAGACTCCATCTCTTTTCTTTTTTTCAGACGGAGTGTCACCCCATTTGTAAATTAAATAGAAGAGGGCTGCGCAGGACTCAGAAAGGCAAGGCGAGAGAGATCCTGGCTGGTCCATTTGGTGATGACTCACTGGAACCTTGACAAAGACAGCAGGGGGTGGGGGTGGGCAGAGATGAGCTGCCCCTGCCCCTGCCCGCCTCCCCAACCCCCTGTGAGTAGCCGGGCTGGGAGAGCCCCTCCACCCTCCAAAGGCTCAGCTCCTGCCCCAGCTGCCCCTCCCCATCCAGTCCTCGCACCAGTGGGCACAGGGTGGGCTCTTTACCCAGCCCCTGGGCCACATTGTCTCGTCCACTACACTCTCGCCTGCCCGCCAGTTGCTCCAGGGCAGCTGTCTGTCGGGAAGCAGTGAGCCCGGTGATTAACCCTGCAGGTGCTGGCAGCTCCAGCTGACACAGCGCATTCTCGGGGCCCGCCCGGCTCCCATCCCAGCCAGTGCCCAGGGACCGCAGAGGCCTGGCGGCTTGGCCTGGCCTGGCCGCTAGGGGACTGAAAGGGCTCTTCCCCCTCTCCCCCATCCGCCCGACCCTCCTGGGATCCCGAGAAGCACTCAGGGTCTCAGGAGTCTTGGCCTCCAGTCCCCCAACGCTGTCAAGGGGAGCCCAGAGTCCGAGCGCACGGCCTGGGGCCAAGCCCCCATCTGGGGACCTGCTACTGCCCAGAGGCCGCTCTGCCTCACACGGGATCGTAAATCAGCTCAGAGCCAGACTCTGCGCCTGGACTGCAGATTCCTCATTGTCTCCGGCCCTTCTCCAGCCAGCCCCTCCCCCACTCGGAGCTTCTCTTGCCCTGGAGAGCCGCCTCCTTCCCCCTCCCCCAGGTGGGAGAACTGTGAAGTAACCGAATAATTGCGCGGCCGGAAGGTGGGAGGAGGGAAGTAGGGAGAGAGGGTCACATCGCCCAAGGTGGGAGGAGGGAAAGAGGGAGAGAGGGTCACATCGCCCTCTGGACTCCGAAGAGAAAGGGCCCCACACACCCTCTTAGGATTTGACGTGTGTAGGCAGCCGGGGCGCCAGGAGGGTGTGCACCGACCGAGGTGCACCCTCCAGGGACCATTGCTAGCTCAGGACCCCACCAGAATCGGCTGGCCAGTGCCCCACAAGCCCACCCAGGCCCCCAGGACTGTCCAGGGAACCCAGCGAGACAGGACCCCCACAGCCCATCTGGGACCATGGTTGGCCCAGCTGGCCTGGTTCAGAGATGGGGGCTTGCTGCCAGTTCAGCAGCTGCAGCCCCACCCACTGCCACCCCCTCAGGGCTTCCCTGGTGGCAGATTTGGCCTGGGAGCCCAAGGGGAGGAGACCCAGGGCCACAGACACCCAAAGGTAGACGCAGGACGAAGCCCCGATCTCAGCCTCCAGGTCCTGTGCCTTTGCCCAGCGTCCTGGAGCCGCCGACCATGGCAGGAGCATGTGCGCAGCTGTGCAATGGGGTAGAGGCCAGGCAGACAGAGCTGGTGGAGTCCACGGGGCCAGGGACACAGGTGCTTCTAGGCACCCAGCAGGTGCTCAGCAGCTGTGATCCCAGCCCCCGACCTCGTTAGGAGCCAATCTGGCGGCCGTGGGGCCAGGAGCAGCGCCCTGTCCTCTAAAGGGGGCTGTGGTTGCAGGGCCAACCCTTCTGCCCCATTTCTCTATGGGAGAGTATGTTTAAGTCCAGCTGGGGCAGGCAGGAGCCAGGCCGAGGTGAACCTGACCTGGGCGCTCCAGGAAGTAGGAGGTCCCACCTAGGCTCCCCCTGTTCCTCCATAGATGGTCATTCGCAGCTGCCGAGGACACCTTCCCGCAAGCCAGCAGGATGGGCGCTATGGGGGGAGGCATGGGGGCGGCCGAGAGGTGCCCCAAGTTAGGGGAACAAAGAGTGGAGCCGCTGGGCTGGGCTGGGAGAAGCGGGCGGGCGCACTGGGGTGCCGGGGCGCCGTGGGGAGCTCGGGGGTCGCACCCGGAACCCGGAGCTACGACCTGGGGTCGGGGCACGGCAGCGCTGTCGTCCCACGGCCTGGCCAGGAGCCAGCAGGTGCCCCTACCGGGAGGCGGCCGGGCCGGGGTCCGAAGGGTTAAGGTCGCCGGGCCGCCCCTCCCCCTGCCCTCTCCTCCCCCCCACCCCCGACCCCTCCCGGGGCGCGGGGCTCCGGCGCCCGGGCGGGCCGGGGCGGGGCTTGACGTCCGCGGGCGGAGCGAGCTGGGCCGGCCGCCTGGCTTCAGACCCGCCGGGCTCCCGCCGCGCGCGCTGTCCCTGGAGCGCGGGGACGCGGCCCGGAGCCGGGAAGATGGCGAAGCGCGGCGTGCCGCTCTGCCCCGGGAGCGCACGGTGCCTCCGCGGCCCCTGGGGCCCCGCGCGGCTGCTGCTGGTCGGGCTGGCGCTGCTGGGCGCGGCGCGGGCGCGGGAGGCGGCGGGCAGTGGCTTCAGCCTGCACCCGCCCTACTTCAACCTGGCCGAGGGCGCCCGCATCGCCGCGTCCGCGACCTGCGGCGAGGAGGCCCCGGCGCGCGGCTCCCCGCGTCCCACCGAGGACCTCTACTGCAAGCTGGTGGGGGGCCCCGTGGCCGGCGGCGACCCCAACCAGACCATCCAGGTGAGCGCAGCGGGGTGCGGGGCATCCTCCCGGGGCCTGGGACCCGGAACGCCCGCCGGACTCCGGGGGCAGCGCCGTGGCCCGGGGCCAGCCCAGGTGCGGACTCTCCCGTCCGGACGCTCCGGCTCCGCATTTTGGTGGCCCAAGAACCACCCCGACCCGGCCGCTCAGTCTCGGCCGGGAAACTTCGCGTCCCTCGGGGAAGGCGGAATTAAAGTCCCCGGCTGGACTCGGGGGCGGCCGGGCGCCAGTCCAGTTCGGCTGCGGTGACCCAGGCGGGAGGTGGGGACCGTGCCCAGTCCCTGGTGGCCCCGAGTCCAGGATCCCGGGGAGGGCGGGACTTGGCCTCCACCGCCGGCTGCCCGTGGGGAGGGGGCGCAGTTCCGCCCAACCCGGGACAGGCTGGAACCTGCTGGCCTCTGGATGGGGGTGGGAGGGGCCAACCACCTGAGGCTCCCCCGCCCTCTCCCAGAGGAGTCTAGTGCCTCGGCAAGACTTCCAAAGTAAGGGGGCCCAGCTGCGAAGTTTTAACTGGGGCTGGGAACACGTGGCTCCCAGGAGGGGCAGCGTCTCTGCAGGTGGTAGCTTCAGTCTTCTGGGAGATGTGGTTTCAGGCCCTGAAGACCCCCGGGAGTGCATGTCCCTTTCCCCACAAGCCTTTAACCTGTAGGCGGGTTCTGTTGGGAGCTCATGCATGGGCACCTAATCAGGAAACCAAGGCTTTGGGGGCCCTCTAGACTTAGGGTGGGCCTGGGGTCAGCCTTGGTGAGGAGCAGCAAAGGCCCACTCTAGGCCCATTCCCCACCTCAGCCCCACCTCGGCCCCACCTAGAGAAAGTCGAGGGGCCCTGAGGGCCTGTGTAACCTGAGCTGTCTCCTCCCTGGGACCTCCGCTTTCCTGGTAGGAGAGTAGATTTGCCAAGTGGGGGCCAAGGGCCCAGGAACCAGACACTGGGGGATGAATGGTGGAGCCTGAGCTGGGCCTGCCCTTCCTGCCTGCCCTCTTGGCCCTGGGGGAGGCGGAAGGAGCTGAGATGGCCCATCCTGGGAGGGAGCCTCCCGGCGCTCGCCATTCTGTCCTTAAGCCCTGCACGGTCCTCTGATATCGGAGGTTTCAAGCCCTGAGCCCTGGAAAGACGCTGACACCTGCTTGGAGCCCCCAGCCAGAACAGGGTCCAGCCGAGTTAGCTATGGGAACCTGGGCGCCCCCTGCTGCCTCCCTAGCTGGTGGATTCAGAGGGGCCGGGTCTCAGGAGGGAGCGCCCCAGGCCTGGCTGAGCTGAGCGTCTGGGCCCTCCTTGCTCAGCTGGGATTTTGCTGTTCCAGCAGGGGAGGCTCCAGGTGCCCTCTGAACCTCAGACCACTCCCCTCTCCCACCGCCTGCCCCTGCCTGCCTGGCTGGGGGTCACAGGCCCCGTCTTGGGGTTACTTCTCCATGGGGGCTTCTTAGTCAGTGTGTAAAGGCCCAGCTTGGAGTCAGCGCCCCTCTCCTCTGCCTCTCCTTAGCTATGTGGCTTCCCTCTGTCAGCCTCAAGCTCCCTGTCTTTAAAATGGGCACAGCGCACTGGCCCACCTCACCTGAGGCTGTGAGCTTGGCCTGGAGAGCGGCCAGTTTCCGTGGCAGCTATGGCCTATGGCGCTCCATGCCCTGGAGCTGGCCTGGGTGAGAAACCAGCCCGGCCTGGCCAAGCTCGTGTCTGGCAACAGAGGCAAGCCCTTACCTTCAGAAGCCTCCAGCTCTGAGCAGTGAGTGTCCCTGTTCTGAGGCTGCCAGGCTGGTAGACACAAGCTGGGTGGCCCGTGACCTTGGATAACACCTTCCTCTGAGAGCTACAGGTCTGCTGACTATCCTGGCTGCAGAGTAGGCATGTGAGCGGAGTGCAGCTTCGGTGGGGGCAAGGCGGGCACACACAGGAGGTGCCCGGGAGATGAAGCCGCAGCTCCATCCGGGGGTCTCACTAAGGCTATGGGGCCTGGGTCCAGGCAGTGTGGTGCCAAGGCTGTAGGCCAGGGGCTCTCAGGGACCCTCTGCAGGAGCTGGGCATTAGCTGGGCATCCCGGATGGGGGTTGGGGTGAGCCTTGCTGGGCAGCTGGAGCAGGCAGAGGGCAAGGGGAGGTGGCAGTCCTCGCAGCCTCAGGTGGACATCAGGGGACCCCTGGCCAGCCCAGCGGCGGAAGGCGGGGGCTGGGCGGCCAGGCCAGCGAGGTGACTCATGGGAAGGGAAGTCCTTATCAGCCCTCTACTGTTTCCTAGCTCTTTTCTCTCGGGACCCTTGCAGTGGAGGCGGTGGGAGCCTGGTTTTCCCAGCCCTGTCCCCTACGGCTCACTGAGTGGCCCACTGGGGACTTGAATCGCCTCCCAATGACTCTGGACCAATTCTGGCCCAGG